CGACGACGTACGTACGTACCGTACCGAACCAACCAACCACACCAACCTACTATATATATATATATATATATATATATATATATATATATATATATATATAATATGTATATATATATATTCCAACACATACGCTTTTATTGTTCGATTCCATATGATTCACTCGACGTGTATATAACATCGTCCATTGCTCGCCTGTAATCACTCCAACAGGAAGCTAAGCAACACATGGGTCGATACTTTGGCTTCGAAGGGCTTTGGTCGGAGATCGCTGAGCAGGGGCACTTACTGTCCCAGCGGATGGACCTGATCAGTCAGGGTATCAAGCTGTTCCGAACTTCGGCGAGGCTGCAGAACATTGTGGAGGCCAAGAAGTCCGTTGCCGGGGCGGGGGCGGAGAGCATAAGAGATAGCGCGGAACATAGCAACTGGGAAACTAGGACAAAGAAAGATAAGACAAATACGGAATATGGAAGTGGCGCACATGGTGATACGGAAGGGGGTGAAGATGAATATATGAACACTAACGGAACAGATAATAATAACAATAATACGGACCGGACCAAGGTTCCCGGGGGTCAAAAGGGGTTTAATAAGGGCTTCCATGAGGGTGTGGATATGGAGCTAGAGCAGGAGAGGATCATGTTCGAGGCTGTGCTGTCGCACGGGCTGAGTGCTATGTGGAAATTAGGCAAATATCTGGTCGAGGAGGTGTGTGAGGCGTATACGCTGTGCGAATCCTATTTGTATTGGCACTTGAGGGATGTGTTGTGAGTGTGTATGTGCGAGGCAACCGTCTGATGAAAGACGAGTACAAAACGTCTCGTGAGTGATAGGTATGATACAGTTCTCTGATGAACCTTGTACGTCGTAATGTATATGTTATTGGAGATAAGGTAGTATTCGGGATTTCTGATTGTGACACGCGTACGTATGACTATATGTGTTTCCAGTTACTATTTTTATACCCAGCAACATGTGACTGGAATCTGGTGTGGCTGGGGTCGGGATGATATAGCTCTATACTTATGATTGATGCGCATAATTACCCCATCGTACTCCAAAATAACCGCCCAAGTTAACCTCGTCTTCTGTCACCTCCACGGCATACAGCGATTACGGAAAGTCTGCGAATTACTGTTGAGCGACCCGCTGGCAAGTCAAGAACAAATAGACATGTGGGCCGAAGGTCTTCTCCAGGTAATCAGGCCATCTTAACTTAACCCGCACATGAGTTATATGGCACTGTTTGTTGTCCCAACCCAAGCCAAGCTCAGTTGGATTTCGATTGTTGGTGCAATCCGTTTTGACAGCGTGGGCATATGTGCACAGCGATACGTTTACGCAATACTTTTCTGTTGTATGTATGAATCGGCAACTGGTTCGCACGTTTTGAATAACTGATGATTGGCAATCTCGATAACATACAGATGGGAGTTGCCTACAGCGAAGTCAGTCAGAAGAAGCAGAGCTTCCACACACAAACGGGGGCTAGTGATAGCGCGCAGGAGCGATACGGACTGCCGAAGTTTAGATGACAAATAAATATATAATGAGGTCTCGATTGTGATACCAATACTATCTGGCGTAGCGAAACGTTAACGGATGTAGCCGTTTCCAATATGTCGGTGGTCTTCATCACTGGCATGAGTTAAAAGAATCTAATGAAAACCCCAACAATCGGGATAAGATGGAATAAATATGCATAGCATTGTCCAATTTAGAAGGCTATGAAATATGACTTGAAATAAAGCTCGCATTCCGGCCCGAGGGGATAGCGAAGAGCTTATCAAATCCGCAGAGGTTAAAACAACATATCAGAGTACATCTTTCTGCACATGCTAGTGCCGTCAGAAAGTATAACATTGTACGTGTAGCTCTTTTGATCCACTTACACTGTCCTACCATCTTGGGCGTCAGTTCATTGAGGGTCTTGCAGCGTAGCGTTGTTCATTCCCACTTCTACTGCGATGTGTAGTTCACGAATCAGTGGAGTGTGGGCCGTGTATTTTGGTGGCTTCGATCAGGTTTGTTATTATATTTAAAATACAATCCTTGTGTAAAAGCGCCCTAGGTAACAGACTGTACTACAAGAGACCTAAAACAATGTACTACAGTCAGACCTGGTTATTGGACCAACTCCGTCAGGGAAAATTTTCCGAACTACTAACCAGAAGACTGGTCTGGTGACTTGTGATTGGTCGAGAGGTCGACGCTTTGTTTAACTGTAAATGACTGTACGGTCTACAGCATGTATATATTTACTTATTATTTTTAACTCAAATTATGTCTCAATTGTGTCGTGACTATCATCATCTTCCTAACGGGGCGGAGCTATACTTTATCTTCATCTTATTCAATTCGTAGTATGTGCAACTGCTACTGTGCGCTTGTGACCATTGCGAAGGGGTGTATAACCTGTTTTACAAGAAGGAATCGAATGCGAACCAATTATCGTATAGACCCACGGCTGTCTTTCTAGGAGGCTAATCACTGAATCAGGCTATGCCTCGGCCCACCTGTTGAATTGATTTTTCAATTTGTTTCCACACGTATGCTTTGACTTAAAGTACTCTCAGTGTAACAACAAACAGGAAAACATGCTTTGACTTAAAGTACTCTCAGTGTAACAACAAACAAGAGAACTAATCACTCACTGCTTAGCATATCGGAATTTAATACATGTGAAGTTAAAATACAGAATTTTCCGGACTATTATCCAGGTTGACTAGTTGACCAGGTGACCAAAAGTCTATCTGTACTGCTATAAATGTAGTCCTGTATCATTATTTTTATTTTTTATAATAAAATGTGGGAATTCCAGAAGTGCATATGACGTTACAGATTTTTCGATGATCAGCCATACAGAGTTTTTGATTGGTGCAGTCGCGCGGGATGCCCTTTTTCGTTTATATAAATACAGTAATACACGCATATATATATATGCAAATATATATATATATATATATATGCATATATATATATATATATATATATTGTATACATAGATGAAATGCAGTTACGTACTTCCACTGGTCTGTAGAAAGTCCGCAGGAATGCGTCTGTATCCCAACACCTGCACGCCAGTACACACTCGTACAACGGGATAGAAACGAATAGGCAACTGTCACTGCAGAAGGTATCTTAATATACCGACTTATCTGCATGCACGGTGAGATTCGCCAATCTCTGCAGTCGTTCGGTACTCCATCACACACCGTTACATCATTATAGGAACAGTTTATAGGCAGACAATATGGTGGTTACCAAACCTACGGGTATGCACGACACTCACCATCTGATGCAGCTTCAACGGGGCTTACAAACTGGGCTTATCAAACCTGCTGATGTCGGTAGGTTGTAAATACATACATGGATGTTGTAAAGTATGTTGAGGTCGATAGGGGTATCCTTATAAACAATGATGTACAGTATACGTCTACTACTATGTATTATATATATATATATATATGCACTGCATTCCTAAGATTATATACAGATGTACCATATTCTCATACACAGATATTACCTTTGCGAGAGAATCTAGACTGCCATTTGATGACTAGATGCCTGCGTTGTTTACCTGGTCTTCCTCTTCAGGATATGTCATCTATTGCTCATTCCTATCGGGAGAGTAGTGCACCATTCCCTAGCTGTGACATCGGGTGTTCTTATATCGCACCTTGTGGTAGAGTATTTAATGTGTCGGTTTTACTACCAATATCGTAGTATATTAATAGTCAGTCTATTCTGCACAGTGAGTTACATACACCGTGTTTACTGGTCGTGAGTATTTGTACACCATTTAAAACAGGCGAATCTGTTTACCCGAAATAACACGCATATAGGTCGTTCCTTGATGTTGAAGTGACATCCGAATCGTAGTACAGTGTCTTCCATGCAGGTGAAAGGTCGAGTGGCTTTCCATACACATGGTTTCGCACAGTTGCTGTCCTTGTGTTTTTCACCGTAGCATATGTTCTCTGTGCTTCTTCTGAATAAGAAGTAGAGTCACAGTATCCTGTATTGTCTAAATCATTGGGGTCACACCTGCGTTCGACTTGTTGCAGATCACTGTTCATAGATACAACTGTGGTGTTACAATCTGTTTCCACGCTATATTGACATCGATAGATACAACTGTGGTGTCACAATCTGTTTCCACGCTATATTGGTGTCGGTAGACTCTATGTATCTCATATATACTGTCTTATATATACTGTGAAATAGTCGTTGTTAATAGATACAACTGTGGTGTCACAATCTGTTTCCACGCTATATTGGTATCGGTAGACTCTATGTATCTCATATATACTGTGGAATAGTCGTCATCATCCTGTACCACTGCACACGCTGGCATGTTATTGTACTATCGCCTCTATGATGGATACGTATTCATTGCTACAGCCACCATATGATTCAAATTCCCTGATACTTTATCTGACTATGAATATACCACATGCGCTTCCGGATGTATAGTAAATTCCCCTCGTATAGAGCTGATTCCAAGGCTTGCAATTAAGCTGCGGCAATGTTCGGTACAAGACTTTCGCATTGCATTGGGAGCAGCGGCACAAGTGGCACGTGACATAAATACAGTGGCTTGAAGAGTTGTTTTGTTCTGTGACTGTTTAATCGTTGGTTTGTTCTGTGACTGTTTTCTGAACAACACATAACCTCACACAAAATAACATGTTTCTTGTTGGCGTATGGTTTGTACTTAGCTTACAAAGCTGTCCGCCACCAGGCTCTGCAAAAGCCTGATGAGTTGTCAGTGGGATATACCACACCTACTCGCCATCTATAGTACATTGTATAGTGGACTTACTGTCACACACCTGTCCTGCATGACACCTTACGATATACCATTGAGCTACCCGTACGATGTATTATACAGCGCACGTCTGCACATGTATCTAGCCCTGTAACTAGTAGTACTTCGCCTGCCTACCATTCCAGAACACACGTCTACATAAGTACCTAGCCCTACATTTAGTAGTAATACACCTCCCTACCATTCACTGTATATCTAGCCCTACATTTAGTAGTAATGCATCTCCCTACCATTCACTGTGAGACCAGTCCGGCGGTATCGGTCTAATATTGGTCTGCTGCAGCGCATGGAACAGACGAAAGAACTGGTGGGCCACGCCGGGTGTGTCAACACCATCCAGTGGAACTCTTCGGTAGGTTGGTACATGTATGTCACATCACTGGTTTCCATGGTAACCTGCTGTACTGCCATAGGTGTGGGCACCAAGTGTGTGTACCTTGTGAGAACCAATCATTGTTCTGCGTGTCTATTCAATATGTTTGCTCATTGGTCCACCATGCCTTGTATATACACGTGCTCTTCATTGCGTGCCAGTGCATATTGGTCTTTCTTTGCTCTGTGTCTATTTGAATACTCTCGCACACAACTTTCCGGTGAGCATTCGGGTTTTTCGAATGTTGGGTGGTAAACTGTTTACAGCGAGAGTACTGTCTTCAGATTATCTTTTGTTCACAAAAGATTGTTTATTAATTATCCATGCCTGTTGTTTTGAATGGTTTATTAATTATCTATTACATCCTTTAAATGGTTTATGAATTATCCATGCCTGTTGTTTTGAATGGTTTATTAATTATCCATTAAACCCTTTAAATGGTTTATTAATTGACCATTACACCCTATAAATGGTTTATGAATTATCCATTACACCCTTTAAATGGTTTATGAATTATCCATTACACCCTTTAAATGGTTTATGAATTATCCTTGCCTGTTGTTTTGAATGGTGTATTAATTATCCATTACACCCTTTAAATGGTTTATTAATTATCCATGCCCGTTGTTTTGAATTAATTATCCATTAAACCCTTTAAATGGTTGTTTATAAATTATCCATGCCTGTTGTTTTGAATGGTTTATTAATTATCCATTACACCCTTTAAATGGTTTATGAATTATCCTTGCCTGTTGTTTTGAATGGTTTATTAATTATCCATT